ACGAGTGTTGGCTCTTGATTAAAACACCAAGAGGGAGCATCGCAGGGGGCTCTGGGTGCCCCAGCGGGCAGGAAGGGGTCAGGGATGGGGATGGCAGTGGAGAGGATGTGCCAAGGGGCACAGGGCCATGTGGATGGCCACAGGCCCTGCTCTCACCCCACAGAAGGTGATGCACACACGGAAGCGCCACTCTGAGCTTTACCATGAGCTCAACCAGAAGTTTCACACACTGGACCGGTACCGAGCCCCGGCTGCCGGATCCTCCAAGGTGAGGCCCTGGGGACCCCAGTCTGCTCCTCTGTACCCTTCCCTCTCCCCCTGCATGCACTGGGGCTGATGGGGAAATGGGGCATCCCTGGAATGATGCTGGAGCTGAACACGGTGGGTTTTTCCACAGCGAGAAAAGCGGTGGAGCGTCTCATCGGGTGGCGGGGAGAAGAGCTTGGCCAATGTAAGTGCCTGGGCCCCATCCCACGTGGGATGGAGCATGGTGGTGGTGGTTGTGCCCCTGGACAGGGTGGTGGTGGTGGGACATTGCCATGCACCCGGCTGCTTGCCGCAGCTCCCTCTTTGCCCACAGGATGCGGCCAGCCCCAAGGAGCAGCAGCTCCAGGCACCGGCAGCGCCACCGAAGCCCTGGAGCACATTCAAGGCGATGACACTGGGGTCCCTGCCCAGTGCCCAGTGGGACCGGCTGGAGCTGCGATGCGCTGACTGGGGGGGGCCCTGTGCCGGCCTGGATGTGGCCGATGGTGACTTCCAGACTGAGGTGTGAGCCCCGTGCCCGGCACCACTGTCTTGGACCAGCCGAGATGCTGCGTTTGCTCCATCATCCGCGGCGGCCAGGGGCCCTTGTGTGGCCAGAGCCATTCCCATGGGACACACCGCGCTCCCCCCGGCTGCGGCCGCCTCCTGTCCGTCCTTTGCGTGGTTTCTCCTCCTGCCACCCTCCGGATGCGGGTGCGGAGGGGACACGTGCACCCCCCTGCCCATGCTCACCCCACTGCTCACGCCTGCACCCCCCGGGGCAGGTCCGGCCGTCGAGGCCATCGGATCCTCATTTCTTTTGTACCGGGATGTTTCTTCACGCCGTGCACCGTGTGCACGCGAGCGGCCGCCCCCGGCGCCCTGTCCCAGCCCTCCCCACCATCCCTCCCCACGGGGAAGGTGCTGTTGTTGTTGGAAATAAAAGTTCACTCTCTGTGGTGCCGTGGGGCCACGGCCTCGTGTCCAAGCGAGGGAAAGGGGGTGGCTGTCACCCTGTGGTGGCTGGTTCCCCCCACCCAGCTATCAGCATCCTGCCGAGCCCGTGCCCTTGCCTTGCAAATGAGTGTCTTATCGCGGGAGCCAGGAGCGCTGAATTACATGGTAATTAATCCATGAGCAAATTAGTAACTTTAGAGGCAATTCCCGTGCAATCTGCAGAGGGATGGAACATGGAGCATCCTGGCATCAGCACAGGCGCAGCTGCCTGGGGCATGTGAATGCCAGGCTTGTGCTAGACCAAGAGCTGTGTTGGGAGAGCAGGGGCAGGACTCGAGCCTGGGGAGTGCTGGAGGAGAGGACATCCCTGCGCCGTCGCTCTCGAGGACTAATGGGGGCTCTGCTAGGGGTTGATCCATGGTGTGGATCTCCAGCAGCTTGGCTGGACCATGGCACTGAAACCATCCTGCCGTGGTGCATCATAATGCACCGGGAAGGGTTGTGATGGTTGGGACCATGTCCTGGTCATGACTATTGATCAGCACTTGTATTTTGGGTGTGCAACTTTCCCTCAGCAATGGAGCTGGTGGGAGCCATGGGATACAGCACAGGGGATGCCAGCACTGCTAGGACAGCTAAGCAAAGGATACTGCCCAGTCTGGACCAGTGGCCTCTAAGGTGCTGGTTTGCTCCTCATCTGGGCTCAGCACCCTGCAAACCTGGGATTCCCTGAGCCCTGGGTGCTGGGGGTGGGGGGCAGATGTGCTTTCCCCCACCACAGCATCAGTTTGTCCTCCAGAGCAGGCTGGGAGCCATGGAGATGTTGACTGTGAGATGGGGCATGAACTTGGGCAGGGTGATGGGGAGCATCACGGGCTGAACCTGCCTTGGGAGTGCCTGGAGCTGCCAGTACCCACCATCCCCGGGAGTAGGGGGTCTCTCCCAGGCAGCCCAGTTAAGGCTGAAGCACTAATCACATAACGGCTCATCCCAACACCACCCAGTTTGGGTTTGGAGTGTGGGAAGAAGCAGGCTGGGGGGGCTGCAGCACGGTGATGAGGGCAGGGAGGAGGTGGCCGCCCTTGGGGAAGGTGAGGGAAGATGCCAAATTCTTCCTCCTCATTAGACCGTCCTCAATCACAGCAGGAAGGGGATCTCAGCCCGGCACAGCCGCCTCTTGCCCGGGGTTTGCCGGCTCTGGGCTGGTGCCAGCTCCAGTTGTGCAACAGATGCAGGAGCACGGGATGAGGGGACAGGGCTGCAGCAGGGGCTGCGACGGGGCTCATCCCATCCCCAGGGATGTTTGCCCGCTGCCATGGCCTGGCTGCTGATCTGCCTACTAACGGCAGCCGCATCCTCTTGCCCCAGTTGCCGGGAGCCCCATGCGATGGGATCCCCCCACCCCGCTCTCCGGGGGCTGGCTCCAGCTCCTTTCCCTTCCTAGCCAAGCGCAGCCGCGAGAGCAGCGTCAGGCTTTCCCGGGGCATCTGTTGGCAATTAGCAGCTTTTATTAGTCACGGAGACGCCATATGCGGTGAGGGAACGGAGCCCGGGCGAGAGGAGTAGGCTTGCGGGGGGACAAGGGGAGCCCCCAGTCCTGCGGGTCTGGGCAGTGTCTGCGGGGTGCAGACGGGTCCAAGCAGGTTGGAAAGCTCTGGAGCCATTTTCCATCCGCAGCTTCCACCCGAGCCAAGCTGCCTGCTCCCCCCCGTGCCAAAACTGTTCCATTTGAGGGGCGGAAATGCTGGAGAACCGGCTCTGAGGCTGCGCCGCGCCCGGCAGCGCGGGGGACCGGAGCTCCTCCGCTTGGCTCCGCTCTTCAGCAAACTATTTCCTCCGAAAGAGGCGAAACTGCTGCTCTAACGCCGCGGAAACAAACGGGCCCTGTCAGGCTGGAAAGAATCCCCGCAGGCTCCTTCCTTCCCGGCTGAAAGCTGGAACCTGGGGGAGGGAGGGGGGATCTGTGCCTAAATCAGTGCAGGAATAAACGCTGATCCGCCGAAATCCCCGCCACAGGAATTCCCTCCTGCCCATTGCCCATGCAGCGAGGGAGAGCTGCCGTTACCATCGCCCCCGGCCCTGGAGGGGTTGAGCTCGGCGCGGGAGGTGGGAGCCCCGTGGTAACGCTTGGGGTTGGAGGCTAATTGACTCCAGCCCGAAAATTGCCGGGTTCTGCTCCGGCTTGTATTTCCTGGCATCTGGCGCCGGTGCTTCTGGGAAGAGCAGCTTGTCTCTGCTTTTTCCGTGCTGGGTCGGTGGGCAGGGGCCGCAGGATCTGGATTTTCCATCACCCAGCTCGGCAGCATTCCAGGGAAAGCCGGCACGGGATGGAGGCAGACTGCTCCCCCCCTTAGCAGAGTGCTGGGGAGGCAGGATCCCATGTACTGGCACAAGGGAAGCAGGAGCGAAGGTTTCCACTCAGCGTTCCTGTGGCTGGCGAGGTCCCTTCATGCCACTGGACTGGGCACAACGTACCCAGGGGAACACCCTGGCAAATGAGGGAAACTGAGGCACTGGAGGAGCAGCAGGAGGGAGGAACCCGAAGATGTTCACAGCTAGATTTGAGGGCCCAGGTTGCTGCTGGCTGTGCTGGTCTGGCTTGAGAGGAAGGGATGGGGCTGCCCTTCATCCCTGCTCTGCTGTGGGACAAGGGCGGTCCTACCTATGAGGTGCTCAAACGCTGCACGGGGAGTTGTTGCTGCTGGGTGGCCACAGAGAAAAAATCAGCTCGGGATGAAAAATTGCCTAATGAACGGGAATTATGGAATTTTCATTCTATCTCGTCCCCACTTGCTTTAATTACTCTTAATTACTGCAGCAGGAACCTTGAGGGAGGATGGAGCGCTCTGTCACCGCACCTCGGGGGCTGGCCCTGCATAAATGGCAGAGTGGAGCCGCTTGGTTTGCCCTCGACAGCTTATTTACTGTGGGCTGAATAAATATCAGCTGTTAATTGCGGCGCCTTCATTAAGATGGATGCGTCCTGCACATACGTTTGTAAAGCTTCCGTGTAAATAGATCCATCACAGTTTGGGAGGAAGAGCAGCTGAACAGGGGTGTGTGGTGCCGTGCGGGGCTTCCTGCAGAGGGGATGAAGGGATGGGGACACCCATGGGTGCTTTGCATCCCGCAGACTCGAAGTTGAGTGGAGGAGTTGCTGTCCTGGGTAGGTCTGTTCCCCACCTGCTCCCTGCCCCTGCAGGGGCCCGGGATGGCTTGGGTCGCCTTGGCATGGGATGCTGGCATGGATCCGAGCAGCCGGGCAGTGGGGCAGTATTCGGGGCTGGCACATCTCTGTGGCTCCTGGTGGGAGCTGGGATGAGTGCTGGAACCAGCCAGTGCCCAGTGAAGATGGTTCAGCTCTGAGGAGTCAATGGCTCTGCTGCTGGGGACCAGGGAGGAGCCGTGGCAGAAGCAAGCAAAGAGTCTGCTGCAAGCAGCGATGCCAGCGGGATGATGGCAGCAGAGACCCTGAGCCCCAGCACCTTGTCCTGGGGCAGACCTTGGGGATACCAAGCCACCAAGCACTGGAGGAGCACTCCTAGGAGGACACCATCATCTCAATAGTGGTGACTATTTTGGCCAGCAATGCCCATCCTCAGAGCCACGACCTGGGTCCGCTCTGATCCCTGGGAATGAAGAGTTGCTCCACAGGGCTGGAAGCCAGGGAATGGAGCTCGGGATGGGTCCTGTCCTCCGGGCGGGGGTCCAGCCCCGGGGAGGGAGGGGGGAGACGGGTGGGAGGTGCTACAGGAGGAGGCGGCCGAGGGGAAAAAGAGGAGGAGGAGGGCGGGGATGCGAAGGCGGGCGGCAGCTCGGTTCCCCCCAGGCTGGGAGGCGGAGGGCGGGCAGCGCCGGGGGCGGCCCGGGCCCCCCCGGAGGGAGGCGGGGAAGGCGGCGGAGCTCCCGGTGTCCCGCGGCGCTCCCACCGCCCCGGCCGGCCGGACCCGCTCCCTCCGCGGGCAGCCCCGGCCCCGCCAGGTGAGCCCCGGGCACGGGCAGCGGGGCAGAGCGCGGAGCCGCCGTCGAGCGGGCGCGGAACCGGCGGTGCCCCGTTAATTATCGTCATTAATCACCGCCCCGGGGCGGGCCGGGGCTGGGACCGGGGCCGGGGGGACCCGCCGGTGCGGAGGGTGCGAGGGTCGGAAAGACGGGGGGCAGCGGGAGCGGGATGAGAGCTTGGGTGGGTGCAGGGGGGGGCAGGATGGACTCAAGCTGTGCCAGACACAGCAGACGGGAGCCGGGAGGTGCAGGCAGGGAAGAGCTGGGGGTGCGACAGAGCTAAGTGCCGGCAAGGCGGAGGCAGGGTTGCCGGTGACAAGGGTCCTCGGTTACTGTGGCTGGGATGGAGACGCAGGGATGCAGGTCCTGCTCTTACAGTGCTGAGTGGAGCTGAGCGTGTCCGGTGTGTCCCAGCCCCGGCTCCTGGAGCCCGGCCTTGCCTCGTGGCAGGAAGCAGGCAGGAGGGAGCCAGGTCGGCGTGACTTGCAGAGCCTGGGCCAAGCGGGGATCCACATGGGATCAGGAGATAAAACGTGAGGGAGAGAGACCTTTCCGGGGGGGGGGGGGGTCCGTGCAGGAGGCACCGGTTCTTCTCTGGGGCACCTCAGCCTCTGCGTTTCCAGATGTTTGGAGTAAATCCGAGTGCTGGGGTTGGACTGAGCCCATGAATGCCGGGATGCTGGGGCTTGTCCTCTGTGCTTGTGCTGGGTGTGGAGCAGATGGGGGATCCAGCTGTGGATGGGGGCCACGCTGAGCCCCCAAAACCTGCCCGAGCCATGGTCAGCATCCTCTCGGTGCTGGTGGCTTTGCTCGTGGTCAGTACCCACCATGTGCCTGCCCCACTGCTGCCACATCTCTCTCCCTCACAGGCAGCCACATCGCCCTGAGCCACTGCCCTGGGCACCATGAGGGGTCTCTGGGCCCTCATGCTCATGGGGCTCATCAGTGCCTGCGAGGGGAAGGATCTGCCGCTGGCAGAAGGTAAGAGCACTGGGATCGAGGGCTTGGGGTCCGCATGGGAGCATCCCACCCTGCTCCTTGTCTGTGCCTGAGGAGAAGGAGGGATCACAGGGCAGTGGTGCCCAGGGGACACCATGAGCCATGCCAGGACTGCACACAAGGGCACGCTGGTGGCTGGAGTGGTGGCTGTGGCTATCAGCTCCCTGCTGTGTGCCACCACTGTGCTGTGGGGCTTTGCTCAGCATCCCAGGCAGGCAGGATGCCAGGGAGAACCCTGACATGGGAAGCCAGCCTGAGGACAGCCCTCCATCACCCCTGACGCAGCTGAGCACTGGGAATGCTGCGGTCTCATGGAGGGAAGAAGGGGTTTGGCCACGCTCTGGCCACTGAGTGCCTGGTGCCAGCTGGCAGCAAAGGCAGCGTTGTCTGGGGCTGCTCTGTAGGTGAGCCAGGACCACTGGGCAGCAGTGAAGATGCACTGAGCTCCCGAGGGAGATCTGGCTTCTGGCTGCGAGGTGGGAAGAGGTTTGGCTGTGGTCCATGCCAGCGGTGGAGGGCTCAGTGCTGTCTACATGCAGCTGGGGACAGCTGGACAATGGCTGAGCCCATGGGGGCCACTGCGTGTGGGTCCCAGTGTGGGGCTGGCTGCGGCTCGGGGGGAGCTCCAGGCGGATGGTGGGGAGGAGCCACTGGCAGTGAAGCCGTGGTTGCATCAGTCACTGTGGGGTGGAGCAGTGGCTCCTCCGGGGGGCCTTTGCCCATGAGAGGGACCCCGCGGCCAGCACCAGCGACCAGCGTGTTCTCCTGGCTCCCGGCCCTTCGTTAGGGAAGTGGCAGCGCTGGGGCCGGGAGAGGTTTCCCAGCGGTCGCTCTGGGGTGATTCATGTTCTCTTTCCACCCCTGCCCCGCTGGGGATGATCTCATCACCGGCGGAGGGAGCTCGCCCCGGCCACCACGCGACGCGTGCGGCGGGGCTGGTCCGGAGCCGCTGCCGTGTCAGGGTCCGGGGGGCAACGGGCACCTCCCTGCACTGCTGCTGGCCCTGTGCGAGCCAGGGGTCAGCGTGCGGAGATGCCTCGGGCAGCGGTGGAGGTGAACGTGGGGCTGTTGGGGCCAGAGCTGCTCCTTGGGAATGGCTGAGGGCTGGGAAGGGGTGGGCGAATCCATCATCAGGGGTCAAACCTGCTCCAGGGCTGGTGAGCACAGAGACAAAAACAAATTCCTTTGTCAGTGCCCATTTGTTCCCTTTTCTATCTCGCACCTCCCAACATCTGGTAGCAACCAGCGGAGGTGGACTGATGCTGCTAAAGCAATAATACAGTTGTATCCCTGGGACCATCACTGGTCCCTGCGGCTCAGAGCCCTCACCCTGTCCCTAGGGCCACCAGGTCAGAGGATGTCACCAGGATGGCACACAAACGTCAGCTCTGGGTGCCATTTCCCCGACTTGGGTGTCCGTGGCACCTGTCCGAGTCTCCTGATGTTGATTCCAGCCATGAGGCTGTTTTGCTTCCAAGCATGTGGTGACTGGGAGAAGCATTTTCTTCACCTGGGGAACTTGCTGGGGGGGGGGGCAGGCCAGCTCTGAGCTCACTGCCCACCCCTTCCAGCCCTGTGCTCCGCTCCTGGCTGCCAGGGGTGGTGTTTGTTGGAGCTGTGCTGCCCCATGGCTGCCAGGGGCCTGGCAGCCCCCAGACCCACTTGGGTTTGAGGAGCTCTGCCCAGTCCAACCCTGTTTGTAGAGCAGCCCCATGCCCTGGGGACACTTGGTTATGTGCAGATTTGCCTTGCAGGGGAGCTGTGCCCACAGCTCTGGGATGAGGATCTGGTCGGCGACAAGTATGAGAATGTGACGGGTAAGGAAAAGCCCCTCTTGCTCTGCAGATGGGGTCCCTGCCAGCCCCGACTCCATGGGGATGGGCTCCGTGCCCTACGTGGAGACCATCAACCCGCAGCACTCATGCCAGGGCCAGCTCTTACCTCCTCTACTCTTGTCCTGTAGGTTTTAACCTGATTAAAAGGTTCGACCTGCTCAAGATCTCCTCCATCAAGAAGGTCCGGCACACACGGGGGCCAGTGGTGCTGCGCCTGGGCGCTGTGCCGCTGGTGCAGCCGACACAGTGAGTGTGGGTGGCACAAGGCAGGGGACTGCGGTGGCCAAAGCATCTCTGGGCACCTTCTCCATGTTTTAGGGACGGGGGAGGCTCTTCGGCTTTGCCTTTAGCTCACGCTGGAGATGCCAGGCAGCTCCGTGGCACAGGGGGGGGATGCAGAGGTGCCCAAGCCACCTTTCTTCTAGAGAGTAACTGATGGGCTGCAGCGGTGGGGCTGGGCTGCGGCCAGGCCTTGCGCAACCGCAGCTCTGTGACTGCTCTGTGGCTGCTCTCCTCAGCTTGGCAGGCACTCGGCAGGATCCAGACAGGCTCAAAATGCTCCTGAGCTCTGAGCAGGCACTGGTGGGGCTGTGGGGCTGCTGGGGGAGGCATCACAGACCTGCTCCCAGCCGTGCCCAAAGCTGTTCTCGCTGCCGGGCTGGCGCAGATGCTGCAGCGTGGTGAGGTGGGAGCAGGTCCATGTCCTCAGGAGCTGCTCCTGCAGGAAGCTGCTGTGGTTTGCCTCCTCCTGCCTGTCCCCACATCACCCCAGGGCTGGCATGAAGCTGCGCATGGCATGGGGCTCTCCCGAGGGTGATGGAGTCCCAGCCTTGGCTCCTGACCTGGGCAGCCGGGTCCTTAGATGGCTTTGGGATGGTGGATGCTCCAGACTGGTGTTGCTCTTGGCTGGGTGCCTGCAGCAGCCTAGAGACAGCCCCAGGGCATGTTCAACATGGAGGTGGCCCCAGCAGCCAGGTCACAAGCTCCAGAGGGGCACCCATGGGTGCTCCTTGGTGCCCACCCCAGCCCTGCTCCTTGGTGCCCCATGGAGAGCAGAGGGGCCCGGTGGCTCTGGCCTATTCCCCACGCCTTGGTCCAGCTCCAGAGTGGTGGCTTGGAAAACCACTGGTGTGGAGCTGAGTTGGGAGCAGAGTGGAGGCACTGGAGCAAAGTATTTCCAGGGCTGAGCAGGCTGTGGGCGAGTTGGGCACATCCCACTGGGAACGGTTCCCATGCTCCCCGCCATGGGAGCATCTGTCCCATGGAGCCTTGGGGTCAGGAACAAAACCAGGCACTGTGGTGATAAGTGCATGGATCCCAGGAGGGGCTGTGAAGTAGAGGCAGTGGCTTTGGGGTTATGGTGGTGGGTGCTGCAGGGGTTGGGGTGCTGGGGCCAGTGCCGCCACCAGCACTGGAGCATGGGGCAGGGTCTGGCCACCCCTGACACTGGTCCCTGCAGGAAGGTGTTCCCCCGAGGGCTGCCCCACACCTTCACCCTCGTCCTCACCTTGCTGCTGAAGAAGAACAGCACTGGGGAGCACTGGTACCTCTTCCAGATCACCGACCGGCAGGGCTACCCCCAGGTACAGCCAGGGGCCAAGGGATGCGCCAGTGGCCAGAGGGCAGCCGGGAGCCACACCTGACCCCGCTGTCCCCGCTCTGCCCAGCTCTCCCTGGCCGTGCATGGCCCAGAGAAGAGCCTGGAATTTCAAGCCAGGGCTCCGGGATCCACGTTCGTCAGCGCCGTGTTCTCCGGGAAGGCCGTGGCCTCGCTCTTTGATGGGTCGTGGCACAAGGTGGTGGTGGCGGTGCAGAGCCGCGCCGTTTCCGTGCACCTCGACTGCGCCTCCATCTCCTCCAAGCCGCTGTCGGCGCGGCGGGCGCTGGCCGCGGAGGGCAATGCCTTGCTGGGGCTGGATGCCACGCGCGGCACCCCCGTGCGGGTGAGTGCCGGGGGCCGGGTGGCTGCAGGACCCCCCCACCTGCCCCTCACCTCCCGCCCCGTCCCGCTGCAGTTCGACCTCCAGCAAGCTCAGATCTACTGTGATGCCGAGCTGGCCAAGCAGGAGGGGTGCTGTGAGATCTCAGCCAGCGGGGTGAGTGCCTCCGACCTGCGCCCGGACCCAGCCCTGCCATTGCCTAACAGGGGTCTTCCCAACGGGGAAACTGAGGCACGGTCAGGGCAGAGCTCACCTGTGTCCAGTGGTCAGGGGTGCTGCCTGCCCCCATGGCCAGTGTGGGGCATGGTGCTGGATGCATCCCTCTCCCGAGGTGCACGGGTGCTCCCGGCTCTCCCCCCAGCACCCCTCTTTCTCCCAGCAGTGCCTCCCAGAAGCACCCAAGACGCGTCGGCAAGCGGAGCTGATGCAGAGCAGCAACCTGATCGAGCTGTCACCGCAGCCTGAGGGCCGCCTGTACACCCGCTGCTTCTGCCTGGAGGAGCCGCTGGGCACGGTGAGCTCCCACATCCCCGCAGCCTGGCTCAGGATGCTCCTGCTCTGCTCCATGGGGGGTCAGCCCGAGCCAGGTCTCACCCGTGGGTGCCACACACAGGATAACACAGGGGTGCACAGGCAGGCAGCACCCATGTGTGCTCTTCTGTCTCCACAGGAGCCACTGAGGACCTCAGGAAGGACTGGCCCAAAGGGAGATCAAGGAGAGGTGAGGGGAGGTGGCAGAGTCCCTGGCGCTGGCTCTGCTCCCCTTCCTCCTGCTGATGTTGGTGCCATGCCAGGAGCCCGCCCGTGCCCTGGGCTGGGTCTGTTCCCATTGCATTTGGGACCTTGCTGCTGCTGCCAGAGCTGCAGGACGCCTGCAGAAGCGGCTGCTCTGCTCCCCCAAGCAGGAATTGAGGCCCCACTCGCTGCTGCTGCTGCTGCTGGAGTGATCCCAGCCGCAGCCAAGGGCCTCTTTGTTCCCTCCGAGTGTCTCCAGAGCACTCCCAGAGCCGGGAAGTGTCTCCAGTGCACCCCATGTCCCATCCCCACATGTCCTCATATCCCCGCAGCGGCTGCATCCCCATGTGGGACCCTGCCAGGGATCCCCGGGCTGTAGAGCAAGTCCAGCAGCTGGACTGGGGGCCCTGGGGCCCTGAGGTCCATGAACCTGCCTGGCTTTTCCTCCTGTCATCTTCCCCATGTCACTGCTCTGCTGGGTGACAGGGGACCCCCCAGTACCTGGGGACACCCAGTGAGGGGTGAGGCTGTGAGGCTAGTCCTGGCTGTGGGTGCTGCAGGGCTGCAGGTGCTGTAGGGGTTTGGGTGCTGTGGGCAGCGCGTGGAGCTGGCACAAGCCACCACCATCCCTGTCTCTTCCAGTGCCCACCCTGCTCATCACAAACGGCCTCGACAAATGTGAGTGTGCCACTGGGCAACACCGGTCCTGCTGGTGGGAGATGGGGACCCCGACCTGGGGACTGCCCAGGCTGGGCTGAGCTGGGGATGGGGATAGCCACCGTGGTGCTGGTTTGGGGGTGTGAGCCCCCCCACGACCCACAGCTCCTCCTGGCCTGGAGCCCATCAACATCTGGCTGCACGGAAGAGAAAGTCTCTGATCCTTTCCAGATGTGGCTCCAGTCCTAAGGCAACCTCTGGCTGGAGGTGTGGGAATGTTCGGGTGTTTGAGACCCCACATGCCCCATGGGGCTCCTGGGGTGGCACCTGGGGACAGGGTGTTGGGGGGTGGTGCCCATGGCAGGGATGGGGATCTCCTGGTGCTCTTTGGAGGGGCTCAGGGCACTGCAGGGCATCTTTCCCCTTCCTCCCTAGGTCACGCTTGGCCCCGCAGGTCCAAAGGTAGGTTTGTTCCCCCCACCCCAGCACACACAGAGCCCGGCTCCAGCAGGACCGTGGCCGCACGGACCTTCGGCTGTACCTGGGGCATCCCTGCCCGGGAGCTGTGGACACAGGGACATCAGCACCGTCTCATCGCTCCCATCTCCCCTCTCTTGCAGGGTGGGAAGGGTGAGCGAGGTCTGCCCGGCACCACCGGCAGCAAGGGGGAGAAAGGCGAGCGTGTGAGTGTCCCGGGCAGGGACCCCTCTGCTGTGGGGCAGCACAAGGGGGTTCCACTGCTCCTGCCCCATGGCCCCCCCATCCCTGGCCGTGGCTGGTGCAGGCAGAGCCCCTGAGCTGCTCTCCCTCCCCTTCCTCAGGGCGCTGACTGCGTGCGCACCCACCCCGGCGGCCCCGTGCAGGTGAGACCCCCCCAACCCTCTGTGCACCCCCCGGGGTGCTGCCCACCCTCACCCCACTCCTTCCTCATCCTCCCCAGTGCGCCGAGGGGCCGCGGGGCGAGAAGGGGCAGCGTGGAGAGGCGGTGAGTGATGGTCTATGGACGGGGCTGAGCGTGGGGTGCATCCCCCCCATGTCTCCTGTGTACCCCGGGTTGGGATGTGGGGGTGCGGCCCGGAGGAGACAGCTCAGCTGGTGCTGGTGGGGCGAAAGGAGCAGGAGGGAAGCCCTGCATCAGCCCATCCATGGGCACCCACTTTCCCTTGCAGGGAATACCGGGGACAGCCGGCAGCGATGGGCAGAAGGTGAGTCCAGCTCCGCTGCAGGTCCCAGCATTGCAGCAGGGGCAGCAGCCCCATGGGTCCTGCGATGGCGTTGGAGGCTCCAGGACCTGCCGGGGACGACCCGGGAGGCGGCACGGGTGACGTCTCTGTGCCCTGCAGGGCCAGAAGGGTGAGAAAGGCGACGGGGGACTACAGGGCAAGCCGGGGCGCCCAGGGCGCGATGTGAGTAGCGCTGGGCAGTACCTGGGCATCCCCTGGGCTCCCCCCCGGGCACTGGGGTTCCCCTCCCCATGGCGCTGCACGTCTGGGGCACTCACACCCTGCTCCCCTCTGGCAGGGCCGGCCCGGAGAGATCTGTGTGGTGGGACCCAAGGGGCAGAAGGTAAGAGCTGGAGTTTGGGGGTGAACGGGTGGGAGCCAGGGCACCCGGGGGCATCCCCAGCACTGACACCCCCTTTGCCTTCCAGGGTGACCCTGGGCTGGTGGGACCCGAGGGGCTGGCCGGGGAGCCGGGGCCCCCGGGGAAGCCAGGATCTCCTGGGATCGGTTTTCCAGGGAAGCCGGTAAGGAGCCTGTACCGTGGGGCTGCGGCATTCCCGGCTCTGCAGGCAGTGGCTCTGCCGTGGGGCACCCAGGCTGACACCTTCCCCAATGCATTGCAGGGAGACCCTGGTGGCCCCCCAGGTCCAAAGGGAGAAAAGGTGAGCTGGGGGCAAGGAGGTGCTGGCTGCCCTTGGCACGGCCACGGGCTGTGCCGAGGATTCCCGGTTGGAGCCGCATCCAAGCAGCTGAGCCAGTGCTGGCTCGTGGTGCTGCCGACCCGGCGAGCCCCAGCCGGGTGGCCCAAATCTTGTCTTCGGGGACAGGATCCCCCAGGGGTGAAGGGAAGCCCGGGGCTGCTGGGGCGCCGGGGCTGCAGCTCTCTCCCTTGCTGAGCTCAGGCTCTCCCACCTCTGGCTCCAGGGCAGCTCGGGAGCTCCTGGACCTGGAGGATCCCCTGGGATGCCCGTGAGTACCATGAGCCTGGAGCCAAGGCCCGGGGTCAGGGATGGGTTTCTTGGCTTGGGGTCGGGGCTGCTTGCCCGGTTCAGTGATGCGATCCAAGCCCAAGCATGGAGCAGGGTCTGGGAGAGCCGGTGGCCTCGTCTGGAGCTGGGATCATCCCGTGCCATAGCTGGTGGCAAGGACTGGGGGGTGCTGATGGCATTGCCGGGTCAAACGTCGGCTTGGGGGCTCCCAAAGCAGCCTCATTCCTTGGCTTCATCCCACAGGGTCCTCCCGGCATCCTGGGGCCGAAAGGAGACAAGGTGGGTGCAGCAGCCGGGGGGCACAGGGACGGGCACGGGCAGACCCCGCTGGCACAGCCCCCCCGCAGAGCCCATGCTCTGGGCGCGGGGCTGCTCGGGCCCCCCGGGCTGTGCCTCACTGTCCCCACGGGCAGGGCGAGCCCTGCGAGGTTTGTCCCACACTGCCCGAGGGGATGCTCGGTGCCGCGGGGCTGCCCGGAGAACCGGGACCCAGGGGAGCGCCCGGAGCGCCCGGCAGGGACGGCGCCTCGGTGAGTCTGAGCGCGGGGGCTGAGGTGCAGAGCAGGGGCTCCCTCAGCGTCCCTCATGCTCCCTCTTCGCTTCCCCCTCCCCAGGACAGACCCGGACCGGCAGGACCCAAAGGGGACAGGGTAGGTGAGATAGGGCCGAGGGGTGGCTCATCCAGCCGGGGCAGGAGGATCCTGAGCACCATCCAGCCCCTGCCGGCAGCACCCGGACCAGCTCCTGTGTTTCCTTCCCAGGGAGATCCCGGCATCCAAGGGATGAAAGGGGAGAAGGTCAGTGTCCAGCCCTGCATCCCGCGTGCCTCCTCGGCCCGTGCCTGAGCCGTATCCCCTCCCTGCCCTCACAGGGGGACTCCTGCATGGCCTGCGATGACCGTGTCCTCGCCGCGCTGCTGCGGGCACCCAGCGAGGGGCTGCGGGGTGACCCAGTGGTGAGTGTGTGGGGCTGAGCCCCCCTCCTGTGCCCGAGGGCCACCCTGGGGCTGGGTGTGTAACTCCATGGGGTGTCGAACAGGGTGAAGAGGGGTTCTCCAGGCTGGCTGGCATCAAGGGTGAGAAGGTGAGTGACCCCAAACCCAAGTGGCTGCATCACCCCAAAGGGATGGGGCAGTTCAGCTTCCTCTGGGTCTGATCATGACCCTGCTGCCTTCCAGGGGGACAGCGGCCAGCAGGGACCCACAGGCACACCGGTGAGTGGGTGCTGGGACCCAGGGGTGTAGGAGCTGGGTGCTGGGGGCTGTAGGGTCACCTCCACTGCTGGTTCTCCATGCAGGGTCTCCCGGGAGACAAGGGTGATCTGGGTGCACGGGGGCTCAAAGGAGAGAAGGTGTGCTGAACCCCCCAGCTGCGACCTGTGCATGGCACAGCCCTGAGACGGGGACAGCAGTGGGGGGCTTTGAGTTGCCCCCCAAAGCTCTGGTCCCCAAAGCCAAGCTCCAACCAACCGGGATGTCCCCTGCGCAGGGGGAGCCATGCGGGCAGTGCCCTCCCATGCCACAGGCCCTCGAAGGGGCTGCCACGGTGCTGGCGGTGCCAGGACCACCGGGGGAGAGGGGCCAGGGTGGCCCCCCCGGCAGAGCGGTGAGTGCCCCCCCTCACGGGTACCCCTTGGGGGATGCTCCAGCCTGAGCCATTGCTCCTTTCCAGGGCAGGCCCGGGGATGCTGGGCAGAAGGGGCAGAAGGTGAGTGGCGCTGGGGATGGGGTTCCCATGGGGCTGGCAGTGGCAGGGGTGGCTGTGACCCCCACCAGCTGAGGGGCTGGGGGAACGCTGTGCCCCCCTGCCCTGTGCCAGCTCTGTCCCCTCTCTCTGGCAGGGGGATGCAGGCAGCCCCGGGGACCCGGGCACCCCAGGCATGGCTGGAGTCCCAGGGCTGTCGGGTGAGCCCGGCCTCAGGGGTCCAGCCGGCCCCAAAGGAGAGAAGGTGAGAGCCCCGCTCTTGTATGGGGACCTGCATCCCATTGCTGGGGTGTCACCCATCCCATCCTGCCCTCCTGTACTCCCTCCTCTGCAGGGAGATGCTTGTGAGCCTGGTCCTGCTCCACATGGGGATGTGGTCAGCATCCCTGGAATACCAGGGCCCAAAGGGGACCAGGGCCCCCCGGGCATCGGCCAGCCAGGCAGAGCTGTGAGTGCCCTGTCCCCACGGTGGAGGGTGCCCGGAGGTGGCACCGTGCCCTGCGGTGACGCTGGTGTGTTGTAGGGGAAGCCAGGACTGCCGGGGATCCAGGGCCCCATGGGGCTGAAGGGGCTGCAGGTGAGCAGGGCCATGGGGGCCGGGCATGGGAGGTCAGGGGCTGCTCACTGCCCCTCTGTCCCCATAGGGCGAGCCAGGACCACCGGGCATTGGCCATCCAGGACCACAGGTACGTGCCTGTGCCGTGTGCTGTGCCATGCTGTGGTGTGCTGTGCTATGCCGTGCCATGCTGTGCTGTGCCATGCTGTGGTGTGCTGTGCTGTGCCATGCTGTGGTGTGCTGTGCTATGCTGTGCCATGCTGTGCTATGCTGTGCTGTGCTGTGCCATGCTGTGGTGTGCTGTGCTGTGCCATGCTGTGCTATGCTGTGCTGTGCCATGCTGTGGTGTGCTGTGCTGTGCCATGCTATGCCGTGCTATGTGGTTCTGCCAGCTCTCATACTCTCTGGTTTTCTCAGGGAGAGCCCGGGAGCACCGGAGCCCCCGGGACACCCGTAAGTAGCGTTTTGGCTGCCCCATCCCTGTTAGTGATCAAGGCCAGGTTGGACACAGGGGCTTGGAGCAAGCTGCTCTACTGGAAGGGGTCCCTGCCCATGGCAGGGGTTGGAACTGGAGGAGCTTTAAGGTCCCTTCCACCCAAGCCATTCCAGGTTCCATGGGCTGTCCGGGGCTGCTGGGGGCACCTAACATCCTCTCCTACCCCCAGGGCTCCCCCGGACCACAGGGCCCTCCAGGGCTGCCGGCAGAGAAAGGTGCCAAGGTAAGGGAGCATCCCCCAGCCCCCCCTCCCTCTCCACTGCCCCCCAGCTCCTGCTGTCCTTCCTCTGCAGGGATCTCCGGGGCCCAAAGGTGCTGCAGGACCCCCGGGGCCACCAGGGACCAGTGTCCCAGGGCCACCGGTAAGTCCTGATTGAGCATCGCTGTGCATCCCTCGCTGTAAACCACCACACCAGGGCCTGAGCCCAGAGCTTCCTCACCCTCCTCTTCCTCACAGGGCCCTGAAGGGCAGCCGGGGCTCCCCGGGGCACCCGGGTCCAGCGGGCTGCCGGTACGTGCTGGGCACAGCGGGGTGTTGAGTCATGGAGGGGGGAGCGGGGGGGGTCCAGGGGCCTCTTGTTAACACTCATCTGTGGCTTTCCTCCTCGCAGGGGGAGAAGGGTGCCCAGGGTGAGAAGGTGAGTTGGGGTCGGGGTCAGGCTGTACCCCCACATCACCCTGTGCCTCCCCATCACCTTCCCTGCCCTCACCTTCCCTCTGCAGGGAGACCCTGGGGAATGCTCCTGCCCCCCTAGCCTGCGCCAGGACCCCAGCTACTCCGGGATGCCAGTAAGCACTGCGAGCACCCGTGGGCACCCCCAGCACCCGTGGGCACCCCCAGCTCTGCTTCACCCCCCTTTTCCCTCTGCCCCAGGGAGCCCCAGGCCTGTGGACAGGGATGACCTGGCAGCCACAGCCAGGCCCGCAGGTGGGTGCTGCCCTCACTGTGCTGAGCCCCCCCATCCCCACCACCTCCTCCACACCTCTCTGTGTCTTGGGGTGTTGCAGGGTCCCCCCGGAGCTCCCGGGCCCCCGGGCCCCCCCGGTGCCCCAGGCCGCCAGGTGAGCACTGGGAGATGGGAGCAGGGACTGATCCTGCCCAGCTTTTAGCACAGGGGTTAAACAGTGAAGCTTCCTCCTTGGCTTTAGGGAATGCCAGGACACAACGGTTTGCCAGGACTGCCTGGGCCAGCCGGAGACCTGGTAGGTACCAGCTGTGCCCCTGCATCCATCCATCCTGCTCCTGCAGCACAAGGACCAGCCCCATCCTTCCTGCATCTCTTCCAGGGCCCACTGGCCATCATGGCAGAGAGGAACATTGAGGTGCTGAAGGTGAGTGTGGGTCTTGCCCGGGGGTCCCCAGCACCTCAGGGTGCCCCTGACCCCCATGTTCCCCCCCAGACCCTGTGCGGGGACTGCGCGCAGCTGCAGGCAGCCTTCGAGGTGCCCGGTGGTGCCAAGGGCGAGCAGGGCCCCGGGGGGATGCCGGGTGCCCCCGGCAGCGAGGCCTGCGCCCAGGTGGGTGTTGATGCTGACCGCTGGGATCCCGGTGCCCGCAGCCCCTGGTCCTGCTGGGGTGAAGGGCAGGGACGCTGCCCCCGGCTCACACAGCAGCGCTGCAAAGCAGCTTGGCACGCGCCGGGCACGCGCCGGGCACGCCGGTCCTGCTCCATGCACAGCTCCTGCCACCGCAGTGCGGCCCGGGGGGGGCGATGGGGCCCAACGGGAGCGGGATGCGGGCTCTGCCCCGCGGCTCCCGCAGTGCCCCCCGCGGGCGGTGCCCGGGTCACCGCTGCCCTTTCTTGCAGTGCTTCGCGCAGCTCCCGAGGGCGGAGGAGGCCCGGGTGAGTGCTCCCCGCTGCGCAGCGCCCCCTCCCGGCCCTGCGGCGGAGCTGCGGCCCCGCTCCCGCTGCCCCGGCACCGCAGCCGCGCTGCGGGACCCGCGGGGGCTTCGGGGGGCACTGGCGGGGCTCGGCAGGGCTCAGCCATGGCTGGAGCGGGACCTGGCCCCGGCTCCTGACGCGTCCCCGCTCCCCGCAGGGTGACAGCCCCGACCCGCACTGCGCGGGTGAGCCCGGGCTGCCGGGAGCTCCGGGGATCCCTGGCGAGAGGGGAGAGCAGGTGCGTGCGCACCCGCACCCACACCGGGCCCGGCACCCAGCCCTTGTGGGTCCCTCAGTGCCCCTCAGAGCCGGGCCCTGTCCCCGCTGTGGTCACGTCCAATGCACCCGTCTCCCCCCAGGGCTCACCAGGAATTCGCGGACCCCCAGGGCCACCCGGACCCATCGTAAGTAAACCCAGCCAGAGGTGGGGGGGCTGCCAGGCTCTGTGGGCATCACGGTATGGTCCTGAGGGACTTGGAGCCCCCCCCCCCCGCAGTTTACAAGGGGGGTTCTGATGCCCTGCTCCGAGGCCATGGTGATGAGCAGAGGGCCAGGGTCATGGCCAGGAGGTGCAGCACAGCACGGCTATTCCCAGTGAGGCTGGAGATGGAGGTGGAAGTGTTGCCAGCCTGGAGACAGAGCAGGAGCCCGGCTTGGTGGGAGGCTGAGGCCAAGCCAGCCCCTGCCCAGCCACTCCGTGGAACCCCCAGGACTCAGGCCAGGCTCTGGGCATGACTTCCAGGCTGTGACCTCCCTGTTTCTCCCCTCAGGGCCCTCCAGGTTTTCCTGGAACACCTGGTGCACCCGGACTGCCCGTAAGGACCCAGCACGGCTCTGCTCTGTGCCTCTTGCTGTCGCTTGGTTTGGCTGTGTCCCTTGTCCCTGTGCCCCCGGGAGCAGTCACAGCCCAGCTGCCCCCCACCTTCCACCCCATCTCCATCCTCCCATTTTCATCTCCTCCATCCCTATGCAGGGGGTCTCGGCAGACCCGGGAATGATCTTCCCTGGGCCCTGTGCTGGGGCCCTTCGTCGCCGTGGGACCTGCGTGTGCTGAGGACAGCAGCAGTCCTCAGGCTGCTGTCAGGGTGCCAGGGACCAGCTGGCAGCCAGCGTCCACCACCATCTCCATCTTCATCTTGATCTCCACCTTGATCTTGGTCTCCACCTCAATCCTCACCTCCATCTTCATCTTCATCCCCATCTCATCTCAATCCTCACCTTCATCCTCACCTCCATCCTCATCCTCCTGCTCCCCCTGTGCTCCCTCCTAGCACAAGGTGGCAGTGGGGCTGTGCCGGTGGCTCTTTGTGCCGGCTGTGTCCTGCTCCTGTCCTTTCGTCCGTGAATGTCCCTGTAACACCACGGTCTGTGTGGGTCTGTGTGGGTCGTTGCTCTGCGGTGTGCCAGCGTGTGCTGTCCAGCCTCCAACACCACATCACTCCACTAACCCATCCAGTGCTCCCATGACACGGAGCCCATGTCACCCGTGCCTGGGAACCAGGCTGGAGCTGTGGTTTAAGTGTGTCCTGGTGCGTGGCCGGGGTGCTGGGAGCTGGCACCCCATGGGCTGAGCTGCCCATGGCTACAGGGCTGCCCCTGGGTCCTGCCCGCAGCAGTGGCCCATTTCTGGGTGTCCCCCGGGCACCCCTGGGTGCTGAGCCCGGGGCACACAGTGCCCAGCGGGTCCTGCCCGTGACTGGTGCAGGTCACAGGCTCCAGGGGCAGTGCCCGGGTCCTCATCCCTGGCTGTGCTGCGGGTGCAGCCGGGGCAGGGGCTGCAGGAGCCCCCCTGCAGCTCCTCTCTTCTCCCTCCCAAGGGTCTCCAGGGGGAACGTGGCCCTGCCGGGCTCGCTGGAGCCAAAGGGGAGCCGGTGAGTGCTGTGGGCAGTGGGGACGTGGGGACGCTGGGCTTCGGGCACCGGGCAGGAGCAGTGCAGGGGGCTCAGCATCATCCTCCTCCTGCGCAGGGACCTCCAGGGCAGCCCGGCTACCCGGGGGCAACAGGGCCCCCCGGCCTCCCTGTGAGTATTGCGGGGACCAGGCAGCCCCTGCCACCTCCTTTGTCCCCCGTGTGCCCCCCTGGTGCCTGCTGAGGGCCCCCCATGCAGCTGGGGTGGGGAGCCCAGCAGGCAATGAGCACCATATCCCTGCAGGGCTCATCCCTGTCCCATCCATCCCGTCCCACACATTCCCGGTTCCTTTCTGTTCACCCCATCTGCTCCCTGTTCATCCCGTGTCTGTGCCCATGTTTCCTCAATCCATGCCCCATGTCTCAGCCCATCTCTTGTCCTGCATGGAGCCTTCATCTCCTTCCTTCCTTAGGGCATCAAAGGTGAGCGAGGCTATGTGGGCCCCCCTGGGGAGAAAGGGGAGCTGGTGAGTCACTTGGGGCCCTGCTCTGGGGCTGGGGGTCTCCCAGCCCTCCCCCTCGCTGTGGGCACCAGGGCTGAGGTCCTTCCAGCAACATCCATCCAAGCTGTTCCTTCCCTTCCCAGGGACCCCCCGGCTTGGACGGTCTCCCCGGCCCCATAGGGCCAGCGGTAGGTCCCAGGGGGCTGTAGGAGCGATGGGGGGCTGTGGGTGCAGCGAGATGTTCCTCACCCTCTCTTTCCGCAGGGGCCAAGGGGCGAGCGAGGGCTCCCTGGCAGCGCTGGTGAGAAGGGGGAGCAGGTGAGCACCCGGGGCCCCCGCGGGGCAGGATGCGGCCCTCGGGGTCCTGCTCAGCCCTTGTGTCTCCGCAGGGTTTCCAGGGCCAGCCTGGCTTTCCGGGACCACCGGTGAGTGCATCCCAAAGGGGCTGCAGGAGCGATGCTCCAGCACAGCGCGTGTCCTGGGCTGTGTCCCCATGGGGCAGGGATGGGATGGAGGGTTCCACCCAGGGGACATGAGCACATCCCATGGGATAAAGTGCAGAGAGCAGCCCCTGAGCAAAGCCATTGCACTGAGCCTGGAGTCGGTGCTGTGTGGGGCTGGGCTCTCCCCTCACTCAATGCTGCTCTTTTCCTTAGGGACCTCCCGGCTTCCCAGGGAAGGTCGGGCCAGCCGGCCCACCGGGACCTGCAGCTGAGAAGGTGAGTGCTGTGTGTGAGTGCCACCGTGCAGTGCCACTGGGCCATGGATGCATGGCGGCACCCTCGGGCTGGTGGCAGCCTCATCCCTCGGACTGGTGGCCAGGTTGGCCCCTGCTCTGGGGCCCATCCCCAGCTGTTCCTGTGACCTCCTGTGGCTCTTGCAGGGCAGCGAGGGCATTCGTGGCCCCACTGGGATGCCAGGGCCCCCTGGGCCCCCTGGACCCCCAGGCATCCAGGTAAGACCCCCCCCATGGGGGGCAAGACCACTAATATCATGGTGCTGCTGGGGAGTGCTGCTGGATGGACCCATTCCCATGCCCTGGGGGATCCCCAGAGCCCCTCAGTGCAAGCCACCCCCTGACCCCCTCACCTTGTTCCCGCAGGGTCCCGCTGGCTTGGAGGGACTGGACGGCAAGGATGGCAAGCCAGGGCAGCGGGTGAGGCTGCGGGACCCATGGGGGTGCCCGGGGGGGGATCACAGCCACCCCTCACCGCCCAGGCCACCCACAACCCCTGTCTCTTTCCCTCCAGGGTGACCCTGGCCCCCCTGGGCCACCAGGGATGATGGGTCCTCCGGTGAGTGACAACCACCCTTGTCACCCCTTCCTGGTGCTGGGGTGGGTGGGCACATGGGGTAGGCATCCCCTCATCCTGGTGCTGCAGGACAGGGACCCCCTCAGCTCTTTTCTCTCTCCAGGGTTTCAAGGGGAAGACGGGGCACCCAGGTCTCCCGGGACCAAAGGTGAGTGATGGTGGCACTGGGGGACACTCAGTGGTGACAGCCCCGGGACCACATTGCACTGCCCGTGGTGTCCCTTCCTCTTTCCAGGGTGACTGCGGCCAACCTGGTCCCCCGGGGAGCATGGGCCGGCCAGGAGCAGAGGTGAGCAAGGGGACGGGTGCTGGGGGCTCTGAGCTGGATGGGCCCCTCATCCCCCCTCATCACCCTGCTTTCCTCAGGGTGAGCCTGGACCCATGGGACCCCAAGGCCGGCAGGGACCCCCGGGGCTCATTGTAAGTTGGTCCTGCTCTCTCTGGCACACTGGGGTGGTCCCCATGGATGGGAGAGTGGTGGGATCTCCCTCTGGCACATGGAGTGGGGACGTTGCCATGGTGCCCCCGAGCTGACACCCCTCCCTCTGCCCGCAGGGACCCCCTGGCACCCCGGGGCAGCCGGGTCCCGCTGGCCTCGCTGGAGTGGTGAGTGGTGCCTATGGGATGTGGGGCTGGGCAGGCGCCATGGGAGCAGCTCTGGGGACCCCGTCCCTGCAGATGCTCCCGGCTCCCTCCTCCTGCCTCCCTGCAGGGGCTGAAGGGTGAGCGCGGCTCCGCTGGGGAGCGAGGCCTGCCCGGGATGCCAGGACAGCCGGGACCCCCCGGCCACCCAGGGCCACCGGTGAGTGCGGTGGGCACAGGAGAGGCACAGAGCCCTGCATTCCGGGGCAGGAGCACCTGCAGGGCAGCACCGCCTCACACTGCCCCGCTTCTGTTCCACAGGGGGAGCAGGGACCAGATGGACCCGTGGGTAAAGAGGTACGAGTGTGGCTGCCGGCTCTCCCGCACAGGGGGACCTGGGGCTGGGTGGTGGCAGGCTCTGTCCTGCCCGTGGTGGGGACATCCCTGCCACCCTGCTCCTGTGTCCCCTCAGGGTCCCCCAGGAAAACCTGGCATCGCAGGACCGGCTGGGCAGAAGGTGAGGGCAGAGCCTGGCCGTGCCCATCCCGGCACCCCACGTCCCTCTCAGGGCAGGGGGTGCCAGCGCTGACGTCTGTTCCCAGGGTGATGCTGGATCCCCCGGCGAGCGCGGCTACCCTGGGGAGAAGGGCAGAGCCGGCATGCCGGGGGGGCCCGGGAAAAGCGGCTCCATGGGGCTCGTGGGGCCACGGGGACCTGCAGGAGAGAGGGGTCCCCCGGGCTCACCGGGCCCCGCGGGCAGCCCCGGGCTGCCGGGACCCCCCGGGATGATGGTAAGGAGCAGCTGCTGCGGGGGCAGGACCGCCCCTTGTCCCCTGCGGGGCCAGTGGCAACGTCCCCTCATGTGTGTCCCCCAGGGAGATGTGGTGAATTACGACGAGATCAAGAGGTTCATCCGGCAGGAGCTCAACAAGATGTTTGATGGTAACGGGGCGGGGGGGGGTGCAAGGGCCGGGCACCCCTCGGCATCACCTTGTCCCCGCCGGTGCTGAGCGCAGCCACCTCTTCCCGCAGAGCGGATGGCCTATTACACCTCCCGGCTGCACTTCCCGGTGGAGATGGTGGCATCCCCGGGGAGACCCGGGCCCCCAGGGAAGGACGGGCTGCCCGGCCGGCCGGGCCCGCCCGGCTCCCCAGGGATGCCGGGGCAGATCGGCAGGGAGGGCCGGCAGGGTGTGCCGGGCATGCGGGGTAGGTGCTGCTCCCCGCGTCCCCCATCGCGGCGCTGTCACCCCTGTGCCGGGGTCTCACCCTCCTCCATCCACATCTCCTCCAGGTGAGCCGGGCGCCAAAGGAGAGAAAGGAGAGAAGGGCGTGGGGCTGATGGGGGACATTGGCCCCCCGGGACCCCCAGGTGAGACCCTTCCCTCCTCGTCCTACCAGCCCCATGGTGGGGCTTGCACCCATCCCCACACCCTGCCACCCCCCCCCCCCTTTCTCTCTTCCAGGTCCCCAAGGGCCCCCAGGCTATGGGAAGATGGGCCCCCCCGGCCCCGTGGGGCAGCAGGGCATCCCCGGCATCCCCGGCCCGCCCGGTGCCACGGGGCAACCAGGCAAGACAGGGCACTGCAGCCCGGCGGAGTGCATGGGGGCCCTGCCCATGGAGCAGCCCCTCTTCCAGCCCAAGAACGTCAAGGGCCCCTTCGGCTGAGGGTCCCCCCGTGCCCCCGTCCCCCGCCTGTGCTGTTAATATTGTTTCCCCGCTGTGCCGGGGCCGTGCCTGTCCCGCGGGGGGCGGGAGGCGGGTGTTGTACAGCTCCACTGGGATCGGGAGGGCGGGTGGATCCTGCCCGGTCAAATACACCCGTGCTGGTGCCCCCACGCCTCCTGCCTCCTGCGTCCGCCACGTCCTTGTCCCCATCCCTGTGCCCGAGAGATGCTCTACACAGCCCCGGAGCCCCAGCCCAGCTCTCGGTACTAAGGCCACCCCAGCCGGGGACACGGTGCCCACCAGATCCCTTGGATGGGGAAAGATCCTGGGGAGATCCCAGCTCCGATTCCAAAGGATCCCAGCCCTGATCTGGGGATCTGGCCGTGCCTCAGGAGCAATCCCAGACAAGCTCATGTGGAGAACCCGGCACTGACCCAGGTGTTCGCAGTCGTGATCTGGGGCAATCCCAGACCAGCTCCTGGGGAGATCCCAGCTCTGACTTGGCCCCACCCCTGCTCCCAGGATGATCCCGGCCAGGCTCTTGGGTTGATCCCAGCCCTGCCTCGGGACATCCCGGACCAGCTCCTGCGGAGGTCCCAGCCCCATTCCCAGGCTGATCCTGCCCCTGTTCCTGTTCCTGTTCCTGCCGCCCCGGGTAGATCCCAGCCGCGCTCCGGCCATGACCCACGGGGAGCGGAGGGGCCCACCTCATCTCACCCTAAGGGCATTGCCGCCTTAAGGCGCCTCCGCGTCTGGGCTTCCTCCCGCCCCGCCCAGCTGACCCGCCCTCCCCGAGAGGGGCGGGGCCATTGTGTGACCAATGGGCGTGCGTGCTTCCCGTGACCTCACGAGGGGGGGCGTGGTCGGGGGAGCGGAAGCCGTGTCATGGCGGCGTACTCGGGGCAGGTGAGGCCGCGCGGGGGCCGGGAGCTCGGGGCCGGGCCCGGGCCCGGGCCCCGGAGGTTACGGAGGGGTCCGGGGCGGGCGGCACCGCGGTGCCCGGTACCGGCCGCACAACCGGGCTCTGTCCCCTCCGCAGGGCTTCCCCGGCGCAGGACCGGCCCCCGGCGCGCCCCCAGCCGGGCCCTACCCCGGGGCTCCGTACGGCAGCGGAGCTCCCCCAGCTCCCGGGGCTCCGTACGGACAGGCCCCGCCGGGGGCACCCTACGGATCGCCCGGCTGCGGGCCCCAGCCCGGGCCTTACGGAGGAGCTGCTCCCGGCGGTGAGTGGGGCTGCGAGGCTCAGGAGAACCGGCCCTGGTCGGTACCGAGCCCCTCGGTGGCGCTGCGGGGGTTGGGGTCTGCCCCAGCCCCGTGCCCCTCAGCTGGCTCGGCTCCATTCACCCCTGGGTGAGGCTGAGCCCCGGTTTGGTGCGTTAGGATGGGCAGGACGGTGCTGAGGAGGCTCCAGCCCCCAGCAGCACCCCTTAAACCTCCTGGCCGCGCGTCAGTGTCCGGGTTTACGGCCCGCAGCCGTGCCGGGGGCTGGTGTGGGTCGCTTCCGGAGCCCCCAGGCGCTACGTGCCGAGCCCTGGCGCTCCCAGCCCGTTTCCCTGGGATCATCGGGCTGAAAAACGCCACTTAGCAAAGCGCCGGCACGGAGCGGGCAGCGGTCCCTGAGGGGAGGTGGGAGCTGCTGATGGCCTCTCCCCATGCAGGGAACGCTCCCCCGGGTGTGGACCCGGAGGCCTTCTCGTGGTTCCAGGCGGTTGATGCCGATCGCAGCGGGTACATCTCTGTGAAGGAGCTGAAGCAGGCTCTGGTCAACTCCAACTGGTCAACGTTCAACGATGAGACCTGCCTGCTGATGATAAGTGCGTCTGGGCTCTCCCTGCCCTGCTGCTGCTGCTTGTGCTGGTCTCTCTGGGATGAGCTGCTCTCGGGGTGAAGCTCAGCCCAGGCCGTATTCCCCTGTCTCTGGGTGTCACTTACTTGGGCAGCTGGTCTGTGAGTGCTCTCTGGAGCAAGAGCTGGGCAAATCAGGGAGTTGTGAGCACCCTTTTAGTGGGGGACACAGGTCAGAGGCTCAGAATGCTGCTTGGGAAAGGGAGCCCAGCTCTGCATGAGCCCCTGCTCCCAGAGAGCCAGGAGAAAAGGGGGGAATGGTCCAGTATTGACCCAGAGTCATCCCATTCCCCCACAAGCCCCGGCATCGGGGCTTGGTGCTGTTTCATACCAGCCTCTTGGGTGCTGGTTGATCACAGCTTTTGGGGCCAGAGCTGAGTGCTGGGGAGCCATGCACAGATCCTGAGCTCTCTGGGAGTTTCTGCAGTGTACCCTTGCTCCACTCCTCACTGCCCTGCTCCTCCTCTCTGCTCCTGCCTCCTCAGACATGTTCGACAGGACCAGGTCAGGACGCATCGATGTGTACGGCTTCTCAGCCCTGCTGCGCTTCATCCAGCAGTGGAAGAACCTCTTTCAGCAGTATGACAGGGACCAGTCGGGCTCCATCAGTTTCAATGAGCTCCAGCAAGGTGTGTGAGAGGCAGAGACACCAACCTGACCCCTGCTGACACCAACATCTGCTTCTGCTGGTGTTTATTCCCAGCCCAGACCGGTGCCATCCGAGCAGCAGGGCTGGGTGAATCTGAGCTCCTGGGGTGCCTCCCATGCAGTGGTGGAGCAAGGAGCATGCTGGGCTTGCTGAGCCAGCCATGGCAGAGCTGGCACTGAGCCTTCCCACAGGACAGGAGACGAGGAGACACAGCAGGGTTGTGGCACAAACTTTCTTCCTTAAGGAAACCCAAAATGCCCCCTCAAATGGCATGCAGCTAAAGCCTGTTTTCTGGGAGGAGCTTTTGGGTGTGTGTGTCTGATGGAGGGGAAAAATGTCTGGAATTCGTGCCTTGGTTTGGTTTCTCCCTTGGGAGAGCCCTGCCTGCACACACCCGCTGCTGCAAGGGAAGCCGTGGGGTGGTGGGAGGTGGGGTGTGTGCCGGCAAGGGGCAGGTAAGGCGCAGTCACTCTCCCTCTTGTCAGGAAGGTTTAATCCAAGTGTTTCTTGCTCCCAGCTTTCTCCCAGATGGGCTATAACCTGAGCCCCCAGTTCAGCCAGCTGCTGCTAGCCCGCTATGCCCAGCGATCGCCCAGCCCCAGCATCCAGCTGGACCGCTTCATCCAGATCTGCATGCAGCTCCAGAGCACGACCGACGCCTTCCGCGAGAAGGACACGGGGCTGGTGGGCAACGTGCGCCTGAGCTACGAGGACTTCCTCACCATGGTCGTGACTCGCATGCTGTGATGCCCCTGCCGAGGGTGGGGGGCTCTCCTCTGGGATGTGACCAAGCTGTTTTCCCAGGGCAGCTTTCCAGGGAGCCCTGAGCCCTTCCAGGACCCTCCCGGCTTCGATTCCGTGTCCCCACTCGATGGCAGTACACGCCTCCATGCCAAACTAGAGCCTGGTTCTGTGGCCACACTGCAGGGTGGGACAGCCAAACTGATAGCCGGTGCTGTGCTTCCCGGGGAGCGCTTAGATCTTCCCTTGCCAGACACAAAATCATCCTTAGACCCCCTTTGTGCTGACCCTTGGCTTGGTGGGATGTCTGCATTGGAACAGCCCTGTCTTACTGCACTTTCAGGGACTCTCCAGTGCCTAAAAGCTGGGCTTCATTGGAAAAGCAGCAGGAAGGGTTCAAGTGATGGCAGAGCTCATTCTCCCTCACCTCACAAACCGTTCTTCCTCCCTGCGAGCATTTCCAGCCCCTCTGATCTGCTGGAAGTGCTCCAGCTTTCCTAAGCCCTGTTTCTCTCTGGGCCACGCTGGATCATTGATCCCCCCCTTGTTGCCAATGTGCGTTTTGCTGCGTCTCTGCCAAAGCCAAACTTGGAAACGGTTTAGAGCTTATTTCTACAGCTTTTGAATAAAGGGTGATGTGCACTGGCTGCTGAGTGGTTTGTGTTTGCTGAGCGGCTCATGGGAGCATGGTCCTGCCTCCTGTCACCCCCATGGGGTCAGCAGCAGCTCTGGGGACACATCCTGTGCTTGTAGGGCAGCCCTGGAGGTGGTTCTTAACCCAGTTCGTGTCAAATCACAGAAAATCAGATGCTGGGCTCTGCTGCTGAGGTACAACCAGGAACGTAAACATTTAGCCAACATAGAAGTGTTTTCCTGGGGTTTTAAAATGGTGTCTAAGCGATTCTCCTGGAATTGGGCTTGTTGAGAAGCTGAGATGCTTTTGGAGACTGTCTATTTGAAGGAATATTTATGAAACAAAATAGTTAAAAGTAATTTACCTGCAGCTTTTAGAAGGTAGGTAAGAAGAAAGAATACCCAGGGAGGTGTATGTCTGCACAAACACCACCCTGTGCACACACATGCTTACGGGTAGCCCTCTGTGGATGTATATACCCATACAGGGCTCTGTGCACATGTATGTATACGCATACATAAATATATATGGAAATATAGAATAATATATGTCATATAAATAATAAATACATATATATAATATATATAATATATAGATATATATCTACATATTTATTATATATTATTATATATTTTTATATATGTATTACCTATTTTTATCAGACATATATTATTATATATTTCCATATCTATACACACACCCATATATCTATGTATTTATCTATTTATATAAGATATTATTATACATAATATATAATAAATACATAGATATGTACACACACAGAGTAACAGACAAGCCTGTATATACATACATGTATACAAACCCCATATATACAAACAGGAATCCCTGTGTATACACATACCTGCACATGTGCACTTACTGACATGGATATACATGCACTAACTGACATGGATACGCACTTCTTGACACGGATACACACGCACTAACAGGCACTGATGCACCCAGAAACACACCCCTATGTGTGTATGCACAAAGTAAGACCCTCATGTGAATAGATACACACTGATAGAGGCCCCTATGTAGCCACACATGCTGACACCCCAAATGTATACGCACGTGTGCATATGTGTGTGTGTGTGTGTGTGTGTGCACACGCAGATGCTGCTGCTAATACAGAGCTGGAGGCACACGCGCTCTGACAGACATGGCTGGGTTTGTATACATATATGCACATACATACACAGACATATATATGCATATGCATACATATACAGCTATACATACACATATACCATAGAACCACAGGATCACAGAATAGTTAGGGCTGGAAAGGACCTCAAGATC